AAAAACACAAACCCTATTAGAACATATTTGTTCTGGTCATTGCTTTCAAAGAATCAATCAATTGAATGGATCTAAGTAAGCAAATGAGAAGATCAAGTAGAATTTTTACTTGGAATGGAAAGAAAACTAAAAAGCATAAACAAGTAAGCAACTTACCTTGAAGGCTTTAGAGAGAAAAGTTGGTGACGAAGAGAACACTTGTTGGACTTGAAGGAGAAAGAAAAAAAAAATGCTAAGTTGACGCGATGGTGACATGGTGAGACTAAGATCTAAGTCTAAGATGATGTTAAAGACTAAAGAGAAAAGTTGGAGTCAAAGCTTGAAAGTCAAAAGCTATATGAACTATTGAGGTTGAAGAATATGAGAAGAGTTTGAACTTTGAAGAGTTAGAGTCTTAAAGAGTATTAGAGCAAGTAAGAATAGGAAAGGTTAGGAGGTGAGTCATGAGTGGAGTTGGATTATTTTTGTTTCTAGAAGATGATGAGCTAAGAGAATCAATTAGATGATTAGGGAGAATTAGTCAATTATTAGATGTTTTGATAGGATTGAGAATTGGAAAACAAAATAATTAATTAAAAAATTAAAAAATTTTAAATTTTCAAACAAGAAAACATGTTAAGCCCATTAACCCAATGAGTTAACCCATTATTGACCCATCACTACTGGAAAACTGGGCAAATACGACAAAAACAAGGCTGTCGAATATAAACACATATTCGACAAAAATACTATCAAATATGGTTCATTGTTAATTATAATTGATTTTTTTGTTCTTATTCGATAGAAAACATATTCGACAGAAGAGTTGTCGAATATGTCCCCATATTCAACAAAAATTCTTCTGTCAAAGATGTATAATCGACACCCATTAGGCTGTCAATTATGTTTTAAGATATTCAACAGCACTGCTATCGAATATGTAGGAAACGACAACATTTCCTCTATATATTATATAGCAATGCTATCAAATATACTCGATGATTAACCCCCTCGACCCCCTTTTCTTTCCCTATTTCTTCTTCTTCCTTTGCGGTGATCTGGTTTGTTTTCTCCAGCCTTATCCTTGCTGTTGTCACCGATATTCTTGCTTCTTGTCATCGAGCCCTCTCTTGTCGGAATATCCCGTCATTGACGTTGTTGGTGAATTGGCCCCTCTCTTGCACAACGATCTGGTTTTTTTTTTCCTTGGATTTACAGTCAGCATTTTCATATTTCCTTGTAGGTCCATGCCTTTTGGTCCAACATCCATTGCCACTAAGCCACCACACGCCTCCATCGTGCCTTTTGTAAGTTGCAGCAC